GTAGCATTTGCGATTGCTCATGTCTGGGACGGCAACTCTTATTTAACTCGACACAGCTCTCAAAAGCAGAGTAAGGGAGACAAACGTCAGAAAAATGAGATAGAAGAAAGAAAGAAAGAAAGAAAGAAAGAAAGAAAGAAAGAAAGAAAGAGAGCGACAAGAAAGAAAGAAAGACCGATAGAGAAGAGGTAGGGAGAAAGAGAGATAGATAGATAGACAGATAGAAAACAGAATCTCTTTGCCCTCCTCTAAGCCAACAAGTTGTTTGTACATTGCATATTCCACTCACTTTAACAATATATATATATATATATAAGAGACAGGTTAATTAAAGAAAGACTAAAGAGAGAGGGGTAAGAGAGGAAAGTGACAGAGGAGAAGAGAGAAGGTGAAAAAGAAAAGAAAAAAAAAACTGATTAATTCTTTGGTTGGTATTTTTACCAGCTAACTCTCCCTCCGTTCTTTATTTTCTAATTTGTTCTTTCTTCTTTTCTCTTCTTACTTTCCATCACCCACTTTGTATCTCCCTTTATATCACATTTTTCTTCTACTTTCTCCATCGTCACCTTCCCTCGTTTACGTGTTAGACCTTTTCTTTCCTTTTTCTCTTTCTCTATCCCATTCTTTACTTTTTTGTCTACCTTTTTTCTTCTTTTTTTTCTCATACCCCCCCTTTCTTTATGATTTCTCTCTTTTCTTTTCTCTTCGTGTGCCTTTCTTTCTCTGATTTGGTTCTTTCTTTTTTTTTCCTCTTCTTTCTTAGGTTGTTTTTACGTTCTTAGTTTTCTCGCTACTTATTTCTGTTTCTCCCTTCTTCATTTTTTTTTATTCTTTCTGCCTGCATCTTTCACTTCTTTTCTCACCTTTTCTTCTCTACCTTACATTGTCGTTTTCTATCTTTCCGTCTTTTCCCTATTTATTTATTCTCTCTCTTTCACAGTTCTCTCTTTCTTTTTCGTTGCCATGCATTCTTTATGTCTTACCTATCATTCTCTCTCTCTCTCTCTCTCTCTCTCTCTCTTCCTTTATTGTTCTCTCTTTATTCATATAATTTAATGTTCCTTCTCTTTTTTATTTATTTCACTCTTTTTCACTTCAGTACTCTTTTTTTATTCACCCCACGCCGTCTCTTTCTCGCATCTCCGCGCACAAATTCCTATGTCCTCTCTCTCTCTCTCTCTCTCTCTCTCTCTCTCCTTTTTCTTTTTTTTTCTTTTATACAGGTAGATTTCTATCATTTTATTTTTCTCTCTTCTATATAATTTCCTTTCTTCTTTTTCTTGTTCTTTCTTTTCTTTATATTCGCCACTCTCTCCCTCTCACCACCTCCCCCACTTTCTCTCGTCCTCCTTTCGTGCGGATTTCTCCTCAGTTAATACGTACTTACTCTTGCCTCCTATTGCTATTATTACATAAAACTACTGATTTGTATCAACAACTACAACAGCAACAACACAAGGCGACGGAAACACAAGTCTTTTTAGATTAATTTATCTCCCTTCGATCTACGGGCGAACGAACAAGCTCACACACAGTTTTTTACTAGTGAAACCATCAAATAGCTTTTCCCCTTCCAGGTAGATACTTCAATCACACGGATAGCAACTTCATATTTTACAAGTACACGTATGTACTGAAAACAGGAGATATTGACTAATAAAAAATAACGATTTTTTAATGAAAATTCCAATTCTATTATCAGAGCTGCTCCATTTAAAAATAAAATCCCTAGGCATTAAAAAACGCTCAGAGTGAATTACTTGAGCAAATGGATTTTACAAGTACGTTGACTACCAAAGAATTCTGGTTATTGGAGATAACTTTAAAATATTTGTTTGTGAACTAAGTTTGGTTGATCTAATGACATTCCAACCCTTATGAAGTTGTTTCAAGGCGAAATGTAGCACTCAGTAAAGATCGAACTCACTCGTAACGGTCAACCAGACTAGCTTCGCCAACCATTTTTACTCCACCGCGGGTCACCTTATTTAACTAGAATTAAATATAAATAGCTTTCTTTGTAATGATTTCTGCCTTAATGAAAGACTTACACAATCTACGAGATATTTTACAAAAAAGGTCTGAATTTCTGTCTGAATATCTCAGATGAGGAGTTATATCATCATTTACTAACTCTATTTACATCTTCGTTGTTGTTATCACAACATTTCGGCCGTTATGGCTTCCGGCCTTCATCAGGTCACCTGGTATACACCTGATTCAGGTGTATATCGATTTGGGTAACATACAGGGAGTTCCGAAGTGAGCCATTTATATAATCTATGAGGGTAGACTGTCCTCGTTCCACTGGCCATATTTAGGGATACTTCGTCTAGTTCTTATTTTTAATAAATAAAAATGGGGCGTCTGTTTCAAATACGAATATCCATTATAATCACGTCTGAAGTAATCAAGATGTCGGATTAAATGATTTGTAACCTGTAGTTGATATTACTTTTGTCAAATTTTCTTGATTACACAGCGGCCCTTTTATGAATGCCCTTCGGTTTTAGTCCCCCCCATCTCTCCCCCCCATCCCTTTTTCTTTTCTTTTCGTCTCCCTCTCTCATCTTCTGATCTTTAAGATTATATCGTCTATTGTGTGTGTATGTCATCACAAAATGTATACTCTTTTCCGGTGTATCTTTAATGTATTAGACATCCAAGAATATTCATATTTCTCTCCTTAAACCGTCTTTGACTCCCCTCTTTAAAATTTCGCTCTGTTAAATTTTACCCCCCTTCATCTTTAGATGAATTTTACCCCCCCCTCCTTCATCTTTAGACCTTCCTGTTCTTCTCTCGTCTGTTACCCCTCCCTATAACTTTCATTTACTCTAACATTCGTCCCACACTCTCATACACACCTCTCACTAAATTTGATTTTTATTCCCGGAGTTATTTTTCTGTTTTCTTTTTGAATTTGTAGGTTTGATCAATTGGATCGTATTTACGATTCCAATGGAATAAATTATGACCATGGAATATTAGTGTTTAAGCCTTTTTTTTATATATATATATATATATATATATATATATATATATATATATATATATATATATATATATATATATGGGTTGGATTAAATAATTGAAACACTTGTTAAATTCAAAGAAAATTTATTTAATATAGTGTTGGTCCTCTTTTAGTCTCACATACAGCTTTAATACGTCTAGGAATGTAATCATACAGCTTCCTGACTTCATCCAGAGGAATTTTCAACCATTCTTCCATTAACACCTGCTCCAGCTCTTTAAGACACGACGGTGGAGGATAGCGGCTCCTAACTTGTTGCTCCAAAATGCACCACAAATGTTCAATAATATTGATATCTGGAGATCGTGGAGGCCACTCCATGTATTCTAGCTCACTCTCATGCTCTTCATACCAATTCTTAACCACTCGAGCGGTATGTATTGGAGCATTATCGTCTTGGAAGAGGCAGTCACCATCAGGGAATAAAGTCTAGGCCATTGGATGAACATGATCTCCCAAAATGTTCAGGTAATCTTTGCTGTTGATTCTACCATACAGGACAACTATTGGACAGAGACATTTCCATGATATGGTTGCACAAACTATCACTGATCCTCCTCCATGCTTCACTGTTGGAAGAAGGCAGTTAGGGTTGTAAGCTTCTTTGGGCTGCCTCCACACATAAACTCGCCCTGAAGTTGGGAAAAGAGAAAAACTGGACTTGTCTGAGAATATGACTTGCTTCCATTGGTTTGCAGACCAGGCATTATGATAATAGTGTTTCCAATGGGCAGCCACAACTCAAAGTACACAATCCTCATTTGGCGGTTATATATATGTGGAGCAATGAATAGCGACTTGGATTACATTCACTTATTTGGTAAAGGTATGAATCCATCTCTTCTCCCCCAGCTATGAGTAAATAGCAGGACCCAAAACGACAGACATTAGTCCGGTTTGCACGAGTCTAAAAGAAAGGCATCGGCCCGGTTTACACTAAAATGAATTAATATAGACATAGGTCCGGTTTGCACGAGTGTAAAAAAAAGAAAAAAAAAAGATAGCGATAGGCCCGGTTTACATTAGAGTAAAAAAAAAAAGACAGTCACAGTTCCGATTTGTCTGAGAGTCAAAAGTGTAGACATAGGTCTGGTTTCCACTTAAGTACAAATTACAAACGGTAGATATAGGTCCGGTTTGTGCGATAGTCGAAACGGTAGACATAGGTCTGGTTTATACGAGAGTCAAAATGATAGATATATATCTGGTATACACTTATGTCTGTATAAGTATCCACAGAAAAAGTGACTAGTTTCGGTGAGGGTTTTACTCTTCTGCAAGAGATGCACTTGGTGTATTAAGAAGCACCATCCGACAAAGAAGTTAGATAATACTGGTCTAAAATTAATTGATAATAATTGCTACCTGGGAAGTAGAGATTGTATTTATATACACAGAATAATATCCGTTATAAGGAAATTAGAAAGACCTTCGAGCTCTAGGAAATATGGCTTGATTTAGTTTACGGTGAGCCCTATTCGATAAAACAGGCGTCAAAATATATAAATAAATAAAGACTCGTCAATTTAATCAAGTAACACGCTGAGTGTAACAAAAATTTGTTAAAATTACAAACAATTTTTGTAACTATTCGCATGGAGGAAGATAAAATGAAGGAATGTAAAAAAAAGATCTGGGTCGAAACTTACTCATTATTTGATATGATTATACAAGTAAAAACAAATGATTTAAAAGCCCAAATTAAAAACAATGTTAGATATGTGAAACCAGAACGGATTTCGCGATAAAGCGAATGTTTTGACTATGTGTCTCAGAATAGAAGCGTAAAGTAAAATTAATAAACATGAGTTCACACCCAATGCCGGATTTAAAAGTTAAATAACCAATAGCTTAGGGTTTCAAAATCCGCAGGAGACTTTTAAAAAATTGGTTGGGTTTAGGGTGATTTTAAAGTTCTAGCATATCTATTTCTTAACAAGAGGCTTCCACGATTTATAAGGGCTTATGGTCATACCATGTTGAAACACCGGTTCTCGTACGATCACCGAAGTTAAGCAACGTCGAGCCTAGACAGCACCTAGATGGATAGCGGTTGGTAATACCAGGTACTTTAAGCTTGTGGTGTAAATGATAACGGTTCGCCTTGGAGATCGAGGAACGGGATTCCAGTTGGGTTCGTTATATTCACTTACGCACAAATACTCTTGGGAAAGATAGGAATCCACCTCTTCCCCCATCTACGGGTTAATTAGTAGGGCATTTATCAGTAAATAATTATTATCTCAAGAAAAATCGCAGAATTTTAAAAATTCAAAATATTGATAAACCGTAAAAAAAAAATCAATCTCCGCTTTATATAATTTAGAGCCTCATCCTTAAAAAAATGAATTAACACTTTTGACTCACGTACCTTTTAAGGTCATTGTCCCCTACTAGAATAGAACAGATGTGATTACGCCCATGACAGGGTACTACTTATACTTTAGAAAAGTCATTATCATTCCATAGTGCGGAAGTTTAAATATCTGGGAAGTGCTTTGACGAAGAATGGTCGGTGCGACGATGAGATGGCCAAGGATGCATTCCAAAAGCTGGGGAGAGGACTGCGAGACAGTGACAAAGAAAAGAGTACTGAGCTGCTACGTGACATCCGTCCTTCTATACGGCAGCGAATGTTGGACGGTCTCCTCAAAGATGAAGTAGAGACTAGAGGCAGTGGAGATGTGGTGCTACAGAAGGATGCTAAGGGTATCATGGAACGAGCATGTGAGCAACGATGAGGTCTTGGAGAGGATGCAAACAAGGAGAAACCTTATACTTAACATACGGAAGAGGCAGATGAAATTTCTGGGAAACGTAATGAGAAAGTGGGACCTGGAGAATCTGATACTCACAGGTCGAATTGAGGAAAAAAAGAGACAATGGAAAGCAATGCATGACATACCTGGCGGGCTTAAGCAAGTCGATGACAGAACGTAGTCTGGGGGAGTTGGCAGAGGCACGAAACTTATTGAGAGCTACAAGGGATAGGGGGAAGTGGGGAGCCATGATCGTCTACGTCCTAAAATGACACGGCACATAAAAAGAAAAGTTGTTCGAACTACTGAATCTTTGTGATGTTTTTGTTGTTATCACAAAGTTTCGGTCATTTTGTAATACAGTCTTCTTCGCCATATTAATCTATCCGTCATTATTTCTATAAGAAATCCCTCTTTTTCTTTAAACATTTTAAACCTGAAGAAAGCTGGAGAGTGGATAAGTCGAAACGTTATAGAATAAAAACAGCAAATCAAAGAATTTCAATAGTTTGACCAAGACATGGAAATGGTACTTGACATGGTTTTGTCAAGTTCTGTCTGTATTACTTCATCTCCAATACTGCTTACAGTTTACGACTCCCTAAAGAAATTATTCTGTCTTCAAGTATTTAAGAATGGCATGTGATAAAAATTCAAACGATAATTATTAATTAAACATTTAATTAAGATCATGATGGAATTGGAAGATTTTCAATATTCCAGTCAGCAGTAACAATTTTCGCGTTTGTTTCGCAGTAAAATTGATGATTGTTTCCAAAACAGAATTAATATACCATCGAACAACTACCATCTTTTGAAGAGTCTTTGCTTTTTTCTCCCTGTTAAAATCCAGTGACCAAATTTAGGATCTTGCAAATCCACAGGCGTTAAAATTAACCAGTCATTTCTTGACCCAGTTAATAGATTGAAGGGCATTTTCGAAATCAACTGCCAATTTGGCTTTATTGAACCTAATAAGACAGGAGTAAATAGTTGTATCATCAGCATAGCTACCGAGTCGGAAACTGCTGAGATCGGGAGGTAAGTTGATGAAAATAAGGAACAAAGTACCTACCAAGGATAGTGTCCTAGGTGACATTCGCATTAATGCGAAAATATCTTGAAGAATGGCCGTTCAAGACAATTTTATTACGCCATTTGATAAGAAAGATTGAATGAAATCAAAAAATCGGCTAGAAATACCATAAACCTTCAATTTATGAAGAAAGTTAGCATGCCAAACCCTGTCAAACGGTTTCGAGATATCTAAAGCACTTTCGCAATTCTAGGCAAATTCTTCCAACAATAACGGTTAATACATCGGCGGTTGACGAAGAGAAGCAAAAGCCATAGTTCTTTTTCTTTTTTTTTTTTTTTTTACAGTGAGGTCCACCCTGCGCAAGGCCCGAGAACCACTAGAGGTAAAGTAGGAGGCACATATTAAGATTGTAGTGATCGGGAAAACATCCTCTTGGAAGTTGGTTCCACAAAGCAGTGATACGCGGGAAAAAGTTATCTCACTGGAACTTATTTCTCACCAGTGGAATACGAAGGGAATAAGGGTGGTTCGTTTTAATGAGCGTAGCATGGCTGGTCCTAAGTCGTGAAGGTTAGACCTGGGGGAGCCAATGAATGTCGTTCGTCTGAGCACTTTCTATGGAAGTAGCAAGAGAGCAGTGAGAGGCTTGGGATATAATAATTTGTCAGGCTTTTGAACTCTATCGAGACTGGAAAGTGAGGACTGGGCAGCTTCTACCCAAATATGACAACAGTACTCCATTTTAGACCTGATCTGGCTCTTGGCAGAGGATAGCACGAGGAGTTAGGTACTTACTGGAGCGGTACAGGAACCGTCCATTTTTCCTGTATCTTTAGGGTGGTATGTAAGCGTTCTATATAAGGTCTGGGTTGAGTGTGAGAAACCAATAGTCACTCAAGGCACGGGGCCTCTCTGAGCAATCATCCATTCATCGTGACCGGTGGTAGATTCAGGGTCTGATCGGCGATGATGGAATGAAACTAGCTTGGTTTTCGAGACATTGAATGTAACCAGACAGTTTTGTTCTCAATGAGATGTTAGATCTCGATCAAAAGAGAGATCAGCTGCCAACCTCTGGCCATCTTCAGTTCTAAAAGATGCACACATATACCATTGTATTATGAGCATAGATATTCAGGAATAACTAGAATATACACTTATGCAGATCATTTATGTAAAATAAAAAAAGAGGGTTCGTACGAGAAGCGGTCCCTGGGGGACGTCTGCATTGATTGGTATGGCCCCGGAGGACTGGCCGTTAACAACTATCTTTAGGGACCTTGCCATTAAGAAGGGCTTTATTATTGAGAAGACTCTTTCAGTAATTCCATAGCTAGAGAGCTTGAGCAGCAATACTCTGCGCCTCACCTTATCAAAGGCCTTTGATATATCTAATGCTATGATCTTTGAGATGTATTTGTTGCCTAGTGTCACTCTAATTCTGTTAGTAATTGTAGTTAGGACATCAACAGTGGATTCAGCGGATCGAAACACGATCAAGCGGTCCCTGTTTAGGTGATCAATAAGCTTCTTATTGATTATAGCTTCAAAAAGCTTAATAATGACTCTGAGAAGACTGATGGGTCTATATTGAGAAGGGGTGAGCGCTCGCCTGCGTTTGTAAGAAGACTCTGCTGGGTGAGATGCTTTACCAATTCGGTGGTGATTAGAATCTCTAGTACTTTGCCAAAAAGAGGTAGAAGACTAATAATTCAATAGTTTGAAGAGGGCTCGCCAGAGTTCTTAAAAGCAGCAACTACAAAAGAGGATTTCCAACAAGCTGGAAAGCAAGAAACATCCAGGCATTTATTGTAGAGCGTAGAGATAACAGGAGCCAGTTCGGAAACATATTTCTATAGGACAATTACATGGAGACCATTCTTTCCATCTTTCGATACATGACTAACGAGGCAGATTTTTTTTCTCGCAGTAGGTTGTCATTTCTTTCTACGGTAGACCAGTTGCCATTCAAGGCTATAGAAACCAGTCAGTCCTGCTATTTACCCATAGCTGGGGGGAGCAGAAGAAGAGAATTCATACCTTCCCCAAGGATATTAGCACGTAAGTGAATGTAATGGATTCGACTGGAATTCGTACTTGGCACTCCGATTCCTCTATCCGAGCCGCTATCTATTACTCCACCGAAGAGAGTTCGAGAATGTTTTATAGCTTAAGAACCCACCAAGTCTAAATCTGGCACTGATAAAAATACTTGATAAAATATATTGACTACAACAGTGTAAAATTACAGCGACTTGATGAACCTTCTTAATGGAAAATCCAAGATACAAAACCTAAGCAAACATTTATATGAAACTGACTTCCTTTTGGGTTTATAAACTCATCCCCAATAAAACTGGCTTTAACGGTTTTACTTTCTTTTAGAGATTGATTTTCGCAAAATAAAAATTCAAAAGGTAACATATATTTTCAGGCATATTAGAAAGAATAAAATAAAAATAAGCTGTTAATAACATTATATTTTTCAAGTTCAAATTAGGAATTTAATTAAGACTACTTTCCCGAACATAAATATCTGAGTAAATTCTTTGCAGTAGAATAAACTATAGACGAAATGAGATTTATTTTTATTTGTGATGAAAAGTTTTGACAGTTTTCAAATGTATTGTTTAAGGTCATGTAAATCAACACAAGTAGTTTCCTTTCAGAGATGAATACACAAAAGTCAGTTTCCATCTTGTATAAAATTTGAAATGTGACACAGACACATACTGAAGAAAATATTATCCACAGGGTAGAAAATAAGAATTAATTCACAGTAGAGAAAAATACGGTTAACAGGACAGGAAAGAATTAATCCAGTGTACAGAAAAATATGATCTATAGGACAGAAAATAATTAATTCACGTTACAGAAAAATATGATCTACAAGACAAGACATAATTAATTTGAAAGTACAGAAAAATATTACCTACATGGCAGAAAAGAATTAATCACAATGTACAGAAAAATATGATCTACGGGACAGGCCCGAATTAATTTACAGTACAGAAAAATATGATCCACAGTGTAGAATTTGATCCATGAATTAGGGAAAAAATCAATTCAGAGAATAGAACAATAGGATTCACAAAACAGAAAAAGTCGATCTACAGAGAATTCATTGTGCACAAAATTTGAACCGCACCGCTGAAAAATATGATTAAGAACACAGTAAATCTTATGCTTCCAACTTGAAAGAACGTATGTTTTTTTTTTTACTTCCTTGGCACTGAATGTCTGATCAAAAGTTACTTTTGCATCATTGTTTT